AAAATGAAAAGAACACAACGAACACTTTGCTTTTACAGCCTAAGGGCAAAGGCACCCTATTTATTTCAGTGATGTAGCCTGCAGCCTGTGGGGAAGAGGACAAGATGGCGGAGGGTGAGGGGAAAGCTTCCAAGGCCCTTTTTGCCAGAGAAGTAAAGTGCTCAAATGTTTCACATTTTCTTTGTGGTTCCAATTTGTCGATTCAGAATCTTCTCAGTGAGATTCTTCTGTGCCCTCCTGGGGGAAATTCAGCTGAAGCCCCTCACCATGGATTCCCTGACCCCGCCTGCTTCTGAGTATGATGCCAGCGGAAGGGGAGCCGTGTGGTGTCTGTAGCCTCTGAGAGAGGTGTATACGTATACATACACTCATCTCGGTAGGTTCTCTTAAAGCTTTAGAGAGTAATGAGGGGGTCCTAGTTTAAATTGGCGGTCCTTTACTCAGTTTCTATAGTATTCGTTCTCAGAGATATATTAGCAAATTTACGAGAAAAGACCCCACCTTTTCAAAGCTTAACACAGTAAAGAAATCCCTCAGCAACTAACGGAGCCAGATTACTTTCATCAAGTGGGAGAGTAGATCACCATTTGCACAATTTTTTAAACAAAACTTCCATTGGTCCTCTAACCAATATATATATTACTGCATTGTTGGCACGTTTTTGGGAATCTTTCTCAATTACAATGCACTTTTCCCCCATGACAACACAGCAAAAACGTTCTGTCCTGTGTTACAAATTTCTGATACCCAAGGAAGCTTCTCTCAGACTAACACTGGCATTCCTGCCAGAGTCCTCGTTTGTATTCTAGGACAAACTGGGGACCCAGTAGTGCCCCAGATGAAACATTCCTCAAGATGAACATACATCACAGTGTGAAGCAATTTTTGTTCTGACTTTATCATTCCAAAAGCTTCAGTAGAACTGACAAAATCTAGGTCATGTGAAACGGAAGTGAAAATATTACAGGATATGGGCCCGATATGAGAAAGATGCATGTAGCACACACTTTTTGCTTTTAATTAAAGAATTGTTGGGTCCAATTCAACAAATATATACTAACTTTTTATATCTCAAAGTACAAGTGTATGCTGTGGCCACTGCCCTTGACCTCATTAAACTGTCTGGTCCTCTGTCTTTTGCTCTTTCCCTCTTCTCTCTGTTCTGGAATAGGGGAGAGCAAAAGAAAAAAGGTGTGAGAGAGGCAAGAGCCACATTGTGCCTTGACTGAGTTGTTTGGTGGGGTTAGCACCTCTCAGAGTCTGTGCTGAAAATCCCCAATAACTCTAACAATGGCCATTTATAGACTTTTCTGCCAACAGGGCTGGGGTGGGGGATGGGGACAGCAGAAAAAAAGTTCTGTGGGAAACACTGGATTAAAGAAAATTAAGCAGATCATCATTACTAGGCTTCACAAAATCTTTAAAAGTCTACTGTGCTCATGGGAAACAGTATAAACACAATTACCTGAAACTTACTCATATTTGATCAGAATACTACTTTGTAAGACACTGGTAGCTCAAGGGGAATGCTGGCATGGGCCATGGGAACAAGCAGGAAAGCTGCACCTTCCTTCGGAAGTACGGTGTCTTGGCAGTCTTACCAAAATCGTGACCCCGGAGCCAACGGAACCCAAGAATACTCCTGTTTTCCAACCTGTCTTCTTCGTTGGGTCAGGGGAGAAGAACCAGCAATACCATTAAGGCTTTTCCTTTTGGAATTTTTACTAAGAAGCCTTTTCATGGGGCAAATAAAAGCAAAGGCACTTTAGGAGCTGTGCTCTGTCTGCTGCTTGTGCATCACCTTCTCAGGAAGTCGGTGAAAGCTTTGGAGATGCCTGTCATTAATGTCTTCCTTCTCTCCCCACCAAAGCACTTTGCTTTTGCCACACGGCAGTTAACTGCTGTCTACACCTCCTGGTTTGGGAGCATCAGAAGACAGGTACTGTGTCTTGGACATTTCTAGATGCTTCACCTGGCCTCACCTACATGTTATACAGAGGAGCTATTCAGTAGGTGTTGATTGATGAAAGCATGACTGGTTATGAGTAGTGTACTATTTCCTCTCAGTTACTGGTTTTGTATTGCTAAGCAAATATGATCTATAATAAAAGGCCAGGCATCACGACCAGAATAGCCAATCGACCAGTCACTATGAGGTGCATTGACCACCTCTTGGTCCCTCCACCCCAGTCCACAGGCTCCCATGGCTGGATGGCCAACTGGGAACCACGGGAAACAGGCTGGGTGGCAGCAGAGCGAGACTGGAGACTGGACTTGAGGGGCATTGGCGAGCAGCTTCACAGAGCAGTGGACATGGCTCTGATTGCAGGCTAGGCCAAGGGACCCTACACTCACACAATTTTGTGCACTGGGCCTCTAGTAGGAAAATAAAATGGCAGAAAGGACTGCCTAATTGACTGTTTTTTCGGTCCTTGTAAATAAAAAGCAGGGTGACATTTATCAAAGCAAAGTGTTAGTTCAGGCAGTCCTTCTGCCCCCCTGGAAGTGCAAACAGCCTCAAACCCAGGAGGATACCTTCCGGGAGATCCTCACTTTTTCCCTTGTCATTGTCTCTCAGAGGTTCTAAAGGCCGTCTGTGTCTAATCTGAACATCTCTCAGCACTCTCACCAAAGCTCTGTCCAAGTTTTCTGTGTCTCACAGAATTGTGGATCGCCAGGTTGGATGGAATTGTTAAGTAAAGGTTAGGCCAGTACTAAATATTATAGGGAATTTCTTAAATGTCAACATACACTAGAGGCCCCAAATGACAAACATTTAGCTTTTAAGTGGCTGTGATTGCTCTGCCCACATCTCACCATCTAGGCCCCTCTGTCACTGCCATGGAAGCTACCACATAAGGGCAAATGCAACTTACTGCTTAGAGAAAAATCTGCAGATGCAGGTAAGGGAGAGAAAGGCTTACCTGCCAAGAGCAACTACTCAGGGGGGCTGACCCCAAAGACAGCCTGTGAGGCCTCAATGACCTGTCACTACCCACCCGCTCTACCTTGACATGTCAGACTGCCTGAGAATCCAGGGATTGCAGGAGCATAGTAATTTCTTCCAGTTTTATTTCTGGGTATTGAGAGGAAGCCTTTAGACTGTTGGCTCACTTTTTCACATGTGCTAGCAGAATTACCACCCGCCTAGTAGCTCTGTGAACCAAATTCCAGGAACTTCGAGAGGCTCCAGGCAGCCTTTCAGTCACCTCTTCTTTCCTCAACTCAACCAACCTCCCCATTTCCCTGCTCTTCCACCACCACCTCTACCCTGCACGAGCGCATCTGGCCACTCCATTTGCCAGGCTCATCAAGACTTCACATTAGCTGATCACTGAGTTTACAAGACCGGGGCCACTAGTCACATAGCCGTCAGCACAGTCATGAGTAGTTGTCTGGCACACGGGGCAGGAACTCAGTAAGTGTTCGTAGCCATGATGCACTGGGCCCAGTGCTTGGTGAGCTAAGTCTCAGCTCTGAATTGCCCAGAGGGATGGCTTCTCTGCTCCACTTTGCCTGAGAGGGAGCAAGGCAGTGGCAACGTTCCCATACTGACGGGCTGGACTCTGCCGCCAGCAGAAAACTCAGTCCTCTCTGCCTCCTCCCCTCGGGATCTTCTTCAGACTTCTTAGCCTCACAATCATTGCTTCACATTCTTACCCGGATGAGGAAATGCTGCTCAGGAGGAGGGTAGGAGGGTTGAGGCTCTTCCCACTTGGTCCCTTCACGGCCCTACAGAGGTCCCCCAGGTATCTTTGGCGCACAGTGGGACCAGTGGATTGCCAGGTTACCATGCTGGCACTCCGCACTCTTTACCGTGCTTATTATTTATCATTCCATATTTTCAAAATAACTCTTTGCACCAGCGTATGTGATGAAGTTGTTTTACTAATCCTTGAAGTTTTGTGTTTTCCCTCAAGTTGGGAGCCACTCTTTCTGGAAAAGCATTAGCATGCAGAGCCTTGGCAGTCAACTTCAGTGCTCATTAATGAAGCCCAGAACTAACAGTTTCATTGTCGTAATTTGACAAAGCCACCTAAATCTATGCATGTTTTTTTGAAAGCTTCCTAAAAACATGCTGCTAAATCCCCTATAAAGGGACTGAATTGCTTTGGCAGCCATTAGCCCAGCATAAGCAGAGGAACGCTTTTCAATAAGTGAACAAACAGAGAAAACATACTGAATGGCTGGACAAATGCGCTTCAGCTGGCCCTTTCATTTACCGATAGAAGGGCGCAGTCAATATCAATCACTGTTTTCCCTGTTGCCCTGAAAATCACAATATCTCTTTTCATCCCCCAAGCTCCTTTCACCACAGTAATGTGTCTTTAGAATGACACTGCCATCAGCCTGCTTCCGCTGTCTGAAGACCGGAGAGCTTAAAAACACATTTCAGGATTCAAGACTTGAACCTGCCTCCCTTCCGGTTCCCCACCGCCTACTCTACCCTCACTCCCCCCACCCCCACCCCCACCCCCATTCTCTGCCATTCTTTCAGCTTCCCTCGCTGAGTAAACAGAATTCACTTCTCTGTTCTACACAGCTCTCCAAAGTAAACGGAGACAACTCGATCTGATATTCCCGAGATTTAAGAACTCATTAAAGAGATGCACATAAAGAAATGCTTTTACATGTTGGTAATACATCAAAGGCTGAAAGGAATGTGGCGATTCTGTGCGTGGCCAGGTGTGCTGATGAGCCGGACCTCGCTGTAGTCCGCCTCCCCAGCCCGCCACACGTGCTCACTCACCCTGCCTAGTCCTGCGGGCGACACCAGTGCCTGCCGGTCTGTTCCACCTTCACAGCTGTAAGCAAGTGCCGTTATCTTGTATATGTTGCTGCTCCTGGTTCTGAGTGCTTATGTGTAGTTTGGGAATGAAGGTGATTACTTTTGAACATTTAAGTGGAATAGGTTTAGCAATGTGCTTATAGTTGCAGAAGTTACACCGAAATGCTACATTTCTAAACACAAATATCGGTTGCTTTCTCTCTCCCCTCAGGTCATCGCTGTCTGTAGAGAGGCCGCCCTCCTGGCGCTAGAAGAAGACTTTAAAGCCAACTGCATCAGTAAAAAGCATTTCACTCAAGCCTTGAGCACTGTGACGCCCAGAATTCCCGAGTCGCTGAGACGTTTCTATGAAGAATACCAAGAGAAGAGCGGGCTTCATACACTCTGAGAAAACATACCCCTTTGGTATGCTTTCTAGAGCAAATTTGTTTCGTTTTAAAATTTTGTGTTGAGATTGTTAAAAAAAGAAATTCTTAAGAGACAAAATGTCTGAAATTTGTTGACTGGATTTAAGGGATTCCAGTTCTTGTAGACATTTTAAATCATATGGATAAAATGGAGATCTCTGGACAGAGGTTTAAATCAGTTTTACCTGGAAATGTGTGCTGAGTTTTAAAATGTAAACTTCAAGCTTTTTCACTTCTGACCTGGTTCCTTCATCCCATGAAATGCTTTTCTTACTTCAGAGCCCATGTCAGTGCATTCCTAAATGCCTAATGTAGGCATTAGTTTTATACAAAAACAGAGAGTGTACATGTGGATGACGCATAGCGGGAAGTATTTACAAATCTTTATTTTTGAAGGCCAAGCAGTGAAATGGCCAGAAGCACCAGCCAAGCTTATGTGGCCTTGTTTCCAGATACATATTGGTTCTCACTATAATTCATACCTGCATTTTTGCTTCAGCCACATTAAGCTTTACTTATGGCATTTAAAGAACAAAGAAATAAGAGTCATTTCATATACTGTAATGCCCTTTAAAAATTTAAAAATTTGGAAATATAAACCCAGTCCAGGTCTAGAGCTGTACTTGATGGTGTTTTTTCATCAAATGCTAGAAATGAATAATATAAAGTGTTCATGTTTTAACTTGTACACATTTTCAGGTCACCAATAAAGTTTTCAGTTAAAAGATGAACCAAATTGTAGTCAATCATATTATCTCATGTTGCATTCTAAATATGTGTATTTATATTTCCGGTTATTTTATCCTTGAGGTTTCTTAATGCTTGAGTACTCCATAAATATCCTTGAAAAATTGTTGGACTTTGAGTCCCTGACTTCCTAGCAATGGAAAGAAGTGCACTTAAACCTGGTCACTGTAGATCTTTGAAAATCCCCAGAAAGAAAAGTCAGGCAAGAAATACCTCATTATCAAAATACTGGGGCTACACAGTTTTGTGGTGGTAGATATTCTGAAGTCATGTCCAAATACTTGATTTCTGTAACTATCAGTAGTAGATTTGCAAGGCTTATTCCCAGACTCCAGTGGTTTGTTAGTACATAAAATCACCTGAGGGTTGAAAACTATCACTACTATTTAGAACTGTGCTGTCAAATTTAGTAGACACTAGTCACATGTGACTATTTAAGTTTAAACTCTAACTAAAATAGTATTAAAAGTTTAGTTCATCAGACACGGTAGCACTTGGTAGCCACAGGTGATGAGTGCCCGCCATATGGAAGAGAAGGCATTATAGAGGTTCCCTGCACAACATTTGTGCACTCTGGGGGATTCCTCAGCCCAGCCTGTACCCTGTCTCAGTCCGGGAGCCCTCGGGGGATGTCCAACTGATGGCTTAAGCCCTCTCCCCAGGAACAGGCCTAAGCTGGCAGTCTGATAACGTTAATGCTGCCACTACTGCCACTGCCACTGTGCTCGCCAGCCCTGAGTTTCTGGCTGAGTGGGGCGCCCCCTATGGGAACACGTTGACCACGATGAGACAGCTCCAATTTGTGTCATAGTGACCGGTCATTCAGCTGTTTGGCCAATTTGCCTATTATCCTTTTATTATATAGAATTTCCATCCCTAGGAAATTCTATTGGATTCCACCGATGTAGAAAATGAGGCTTACACATTGAAATAAATAGAACCTCAAAATTACTTTTGTGCTCCCCATTTTCCCTTATGAGAGCAGCATAACTTCTTTCCTACAAGTGCTGGGGTACAAGAAAATAGAAAAAAAAAATTTTTTTCCCAAAGGCCTGGACATGAAAATTAAAGAAATTCCATTGCCAATAAAATAAAAACCAGAACAGTAAACTTGAACTCACACAAGCTTTCGGGCTGCAGGCTGGGTGGCAGAGAAGAAGGTGGCCATCTCAGCCAGCCAGGCGTTCAGATGGACCTTTCAGCCCATATGACAAAGTTATAACAGCCTCCTATTTAAGCCAGATCTCTAAAGACCTTCATTGTAGAAACAGACCAGACAAAAATTCCTCCTGCTGGTTGGAGAGACCTCAAGGAGCCTCTGTTGATTTGGTCTGTGCCTTGGATTAAAAAATAAAAAGGGCCCCTCTGAGAATTCCGACTGGACTTACCTGACCAGACCATAGCTTCAGGATTTGAATTTACAAGACTTGTGATAACAGAAGCTTAAAAGCCTGAAAATTAACATGAAAGCATGTGTCTGAGCTAGAAATATCCTTGGGATGATAGCAGTTGCACTAGTTGGAGGAATAGATCCTCAGCTCAGCCACAGGATTCTAACAGGACTCTTGCCTACAGAGTTTATAATCCCAAGCTCCTCTCTCCCACCCCCTCACCCCCATCTGCTGTAGGGGCTTACATGGTACAATCACTTCAGAAAGCAACTGGCATGTCAAATCATGTGGAAGACCCTGTAACTCAACAATTCTTGGTGTGTATTTCAGGGCAAGTTGTGTTCAATGAAGAAACAAATCAGAAAATCTTAGCTCCATTGTTGGGAAGTAGTAAGAAACTGGAAACAACCTAAATATCCACCAATAAGAGAGTGGGCCTCTATGGAATACTCATCCAATGCAGTACTGAAGGCAGTAAAAAAAGAGAGCTGCATAACAAAAAGAATGTTTCAGAATACTTACCATATGTATTTAATGTTTAAGGCATGCAGAATAATATATGTTGTTTGTGGGGGGCATAGTCAAAGACTATCTACATAGGAATGAAAAGCGCCAAATACTGGGAAGTATTTTGTCAGGGAAGAAAAGTTGAAAAGTATCTTAAGCTAAGTGGTGGGGTTGTAAGCATTGATTGTAATACAGTCTACACTTTTTGTATTGCCTAAATATTTCATAATAATTTTTTTAAAATATATTTTATTGATTTTCCACAGAGAGGAAGGGAGAAGGGTAGATAGTTAGAAACATCAATGAGAGAGAATCATCGACCAGCTGCTTCCTGCACACCCCCCACTGGGGATGTGCCCGCAACCAATGCACATGCCCTTGACCAGAATCGAACCTGGGACCTTTCATTCCGCAGACCTACGCTCTATCCACTGACCCAAACTGGTTTTGGCATTTCATAATTTTTAAAAGATGTTACAGTTCAAGGGCAAAATGCATCTGTGGCCATTGTGTTTTAACCAACATCACAGACAGCATCGAACTCAATTCCATGGTCTCCCAAAGCAGTGGCAGGGCACTCACCCACAAGTCTGGAAAATCGGCAGGACTGGGTATGATGGAATAAATGCAAGAAGGCAAATAAGAGGTCAGGCTTTTAGGACTCAGGAAACAAGTTGAGAGACATTTCTTGGTAACAAAAGATAGTTTTTAGATGAGCATTGGAAGAAGCATTGGAAGAAATAAGTTGAAAGTGAAGAATCTTTTTTTATTTTTATTGATTGAAAAAGATTTTTAGAGCACTACATCTTTATTACACACCAACTATGTTTTATATCTGTAGATAGCTAGTTATCCTAATATTAATATAAAAACCCTAGGTCCATGACATCCACAACCACCGGAGGCTTGACCGTTTGCCAGGCTGCACGTGCAGCAGGCGAGTGAGCTGAACTGCTGACCTCTCTGGTAGAGAGAGAGGCAGGGCTGATCAGCAGTGGCAGCCACTGCTGGCGAGGCCAGGAGAGAGAAGTAGGGTGATCAGACCCTGCTTCTCTCTCCTTCACTTCTCTTTCCCAGAGGTCAGCAGTTCAGCAGCTCACCAGCAGCCTGGAGCAGCTGCTGATCAGCCCTGCCTCTATGATCAGGTCCAGAGATAGGCCCGGAGATGTTGACTAGCATAGAAACTGACCAATCGGAATTAAATCTGTGTGAATTGCAAGGAGCCAATGGCTGCCTAGGAGGCAGAGCTTTTGACACTGTCTGGCATATAAACTGACCAATCGGAACCAAATTGGCCAGCAGAGGAGAGCAGTTGGGGGCGATCAGGCCAGTAGGGGAGCAGTGATGTGTTCATCAGGCTGGCAGGAGAGCGGTTAGGGGGTGAGCAGCCTGGCAGGCAAAAGCAGTTAGGGGAAATCAGGCAGGCAAGCAGGCGAGCGGTTAGAAGCCAGCAGTCCTGGATTGTGAGAGGGATGTCCAACTGCTTGTGGGATCAGGCCTAAACCAGCAGTCAGACATCCCCTGAGGGGTCCCAGTTTGGAGAGGGTGCAGGCTGGGCTGAGGGACATAACCCCAGTTCACGAATTTCGTGCACCGGGCCTCTAGTTACCATTGAAAAGGCCATGATATTCCTTTATTTGAAATTTAAGCTAATTGACAACAGTACTAGTAAAAGTCTGAGTTGCAAAAGAGTCAGGTGTCACTAATAACAGTTTACTCCTTGTCATCTCAATGAGGGTTTTACTTCTGATCCCAGTGTTTGTGGATTTAAAACAGTGCATGGTCCTATTATTGGGTTTGTTTGTGATTGAATACACAGTATAGTTCATGGAAAAATTAAGTTTCAGCAAGGAAAGAAAATGCTTTTCTGGCATCTGTTTGGTCAAATTTTGTCTTTGGTCCTGATTCTTTTCAGGGTTTCAGGCATATTCATATTAACACTCTTTTTCCAAGAGACTTTAGTTTGAATAGTGTCATTAGTGTTTCCTTCTAACAACAAAACTTAGAAAAATGGCTTGTTCATGACAAAGAGAGTGTATTTATAAGCTAAATACTGACTCCTTAACTTTGCTTGAAAAATGTTCAGTTCTGTGTTGTTTCTAATGTGCAAAACAGGTTTCCAAATGTATAGGTTTTCCATTTGGAAACGTAATTATTGGATTTATGGGAAAACCAAACTTGGATATATGTTTAATTTATCTTAATCAAGAGAAAGCTACAGAAAGTTGCTGTAGAGATAGAATGCAATGACTTCCCTGGCCTAAATGTGAAGTCGTTAGAATCTCAGTTCATTTTGTCACGTTTCCCTGAGTCTTTTCTTGAGGGAGGCGCACTCA